ATATAAATGCTCCAAAGAGAATGATTTGGCTTGCATCAGCAAAAAGTCACACAGTAATATAAAAATGACACGTGTACACTTTTTCCTAACCGACTTTGTTGCACAACACAATGTTTGATCAGTACTTGGCCACACTACAGAGACTGCCTGCTTGTACTAAAATGAAAGGAGGACACCTTTTAGCAAATGAGTTTAATTGGATGTGTATTATTTATTACCTAAAACCAGAAGAGCAAGTCAGGGCAGGATTGTGTGTGTGAATCATACTGCTCACTGTTTGCCTTAATTTTTGGTCTAAACAGCAAACCTTCATTTAAGAAATGATACGATTAGTCATAGCTAAGTGCAATAGTCCTGCAAAGTGCTGGGCAGAACAACGAAAATGGCTGCCACTTTTGGCAACTCTGTCACATTGATTAAGCTATGTGCCAAGGTTACACCCTAGTCTTAGAAGGAAAATAATATCCATGCTACCTGCCCAGTATGCTCAGTGCTCATACTATCTATGCTTTTGTACCTTATCCCTGTGTTTTACTTTTCTCCCAGACACTCCACATAGTTTAAGTCCCCACATACACCTACACACATGCACACTTCATACACACACACCCAGTCTCTACTGATACACACACTCTTAGTCTGTTGCATACACAGCTCAACTGTCTGGGCACAGCTGCTAATCTGAAAGATACCTATGAAGCCCACATACCTGAAACACATTTCTACTTGCTTCCAGCTAGTGGGGTGATAGCTGACCACTATTATACAAAACCTGATCGTTACTTCTTTCCTTTGTCACTTACTTTGCAGACTGCATGACATTCTGTATGACTGGCTGATCTTTCTTGCAAGAAATAAAATATATAAAGGCAACTTGGTTGTTTACTCTCCATTTCTCCAGACTCATTTTAAAATTTCCAGCATACCCACTGCTGCTCTCACTGCAGCAGTCCACTGTCTCACTCATTTCAGTGTCCATTATTCCAATGAGCATTCCATATAAATCTGTATTGCTTGCCCACATGTGTAATTTAGCCCATTTTCCATTTCATGGTACTGTCTCAACTCGACTTGACTCTACTCCCCTTTGGTACCAGGTGCTTGCTTTTCCACTGCATATGGTCAGCTCTCAGTGTAGCTACTTGTCATAGCGACACCACATTATGCTACCGTGACGTCGTCAGCAACCCAACACAGTAACAATGGAGGACATCGAAGGTATGATATTGATTCTCAGTATGTAGCTGTTTTTAGCTAGTACATTAACTACAGTGAATTAGTGGTTAGTGTTAAATAACATTGCTTTTAAAAATGGTGCTTTGTTCCAGGATGTCTTGCACATTGATGATGCAATTTCTCTGACCAATTGCAAGTCTGCAGTGTTTACACAGCAGTTTATACCTCTGGAACCTTGATGGAGGTGATACCAGAAATAGTACCAGATACTACCCCCTGCACTTCTTTCAGATAACACACCACTTTTCCCAGAAAATTGTTGCAATCACTTTTGTTTGCATTGGAACAACACAAAAAGCAGAGAAAAAAAATCTAAATCTGATACATTCCACACACCTCCAAAAATGGACACCCTCAACTTGGTAGCACACCCTTTGGACAAAGTAATTGAAATCAATCGCTTCCTGTTACCATCAGTGAGTTTCTTATACCTCTCTACTTGAATTTTGGATGTACAGATGCATGGACAGACAGACAACTCTAAAACATAATGACTTTGGCCATGGCTGTCGCCCAGCGCCAAGCCCTAACAAACAAAGCCACTGGACAGTCACTTTTCCTGTCTTTAATTTTTATTTGTGCAAAGCAGAAAAGTAAATGTACAGCCAAGGTCATTTCTATGCAGTTCCCCTGAACAACTACAAATTATGTTTTTATGAGTACATATGTATTTCATGGTGTAATTGTGGCTGCTGTCACAGGATACTTTTTTAAAACAACCAAACAAACAAAAAAGTATTATGTTACCACAATGCACATTATCAAGAATGATAAGATACAAGTTTGCCATTCTTTATATTTGGACCATTTTTAGTCTCTATATTTTTGCTATCGAATATTACATACATTAACTGTCAAGTATAAACAAACATCAGGGTGTTTGCTCTCTACTGAGACATATTACTATTTTACTAAAAGAATTAATTGGATCAAAATTTCTGTTGTTTTTGGCTAAAGTGTACACAATACTGAAAGTGAAGAAACAAACAGGGAATGTACTGCAGCTACAGATCATGGTTTCAGTGTATTCTATAGCAAATATTTTTTCAAAAATCATGAAAAACATAATAAAATTGAGGCGAAAATACTGTAGCATATCCTGAATGTTAGGGCAGATTACACAATTTTTAAAATGAGAAACAACCTCTAAATAAGAAGATCTGAAATTAAAGTTAGGTAAAGAGCCACTGAATCATTCAGAAAATATACGTCTTAAAGTAAAGACTACTGTTTCATGAGATATATACCAGTAATATTTTCTAAATGTTAGCAACTGTATGTATAGTAATTGTTTCACAATAAAGGCAAACATATACATTACCATATTATAAAAAGGAAATAAAGAGCAACAATGAAATATATAATAAAAACATTTACATGTAAAATAAACATTTTTTTTTTTACTTTTTTTTTTGCCACTGTGACATTCTCAGAGGAAAGTCTGAAGCAATGCCTACAGTACACATATTCACATACAAGTTTGGTGGCTTCCATGCTAAATCCCAGTGGCTCACAGATAAACAGGGAACCCCTAATGGGATACCCCAATGTATAAAACTGCCACCACAGGAGTGAGCATGTATATGCACACAAGCATTTGCTGTGGTTGCACAGCTTTCATTTGTAGCAGCAGTCACATCGCACAGTGTAGTGCATTTCAGATGCATGTTCACAGCATGGGGAACAAGGGTCAAATAAAGTGTTTCCAACCTGTTTTGTGATATACTACATACAACGGGTGCTTGGCAATATCCTTGGTTATGGAGACAATGACCTGTTGAAATGTCTTTCGCAAAATCCTTACCCCTAACAGCGATTGTTCAGTCATGGTCTACTGTAACTATGGACAGCAACTGTTAAGTTTTGGATTTCTCCACATGTTGGGGTTGTCGTAAAAGCAGCCCAGTGAAGAATGGTTTCTTTTTTTTAGCCTTCAAAACCACAAACAAGAGCATACATTTTGACATTGCACTAAAAATTGTGTGGCAAATTTCCATTTTTCATATATTGGGAGGGACAGCAATTATGTACTGCTTCAGCCTCAGATTTTTAATATGATATCATCTATGTAGCCATCAAGTGTATATTTAAAATTCTTTCTCATATTAAAGGGAGTCAGCTGGAGACAGCATTTTCAACAAACTCTAATGCTAACATTAGCTTATTTAGCAACCGCTTTAATCATTAATTAAATTTAATTCATTAACTAAATCTGCCGGGAATTAGGAAGAAATAGTTCAATACTTTACTTAGAACTTAAATTTGAATGTCTGCTCTGCTTTTATTGTGAACTGCTTGCTGTTTGAGAATGGAAAGCCTGACAGGCATGGTTAGCAGAAGCTAAGCTTTACACTTTGTTTAATACATCATGCAGTATATAATGAACACTCGCTAGTTTAATCAACACGGAGCTGGAAAGTGACATTTCAGTCTGACTACTCATTGTTTTTGTGTCATCACTGACAGCTGTTGAGATGCACAATGGTAATTTTCACAGCTGTAAAATATGAAGTATTGCATAGTATGATTGCTAGCAGTGAAAATGCCAATGCTACTTTTTTCATTTGATTATGACATTTCTAAGGGCAATTCATAGCAAAAATGTACACACAGAATTCACATAGTCAAATAACATGGCAGGCTGTGTATGCATTATGCAAAAAACAGTGATTCTGGTCACAGCTTTAGTCTGTTTGTCCTTCTTTGGGCACTACACATTTCCAGTATTGTGAATATGTACACAGGTCAGTCTGACAGTCACTGCTGCAGTAGTGGCAAGCTGAGAAGCTAGTTTACAGTCACATATTATATTACAGTGAAAAGAGGAATGCTCACATGAAAAAGCTTTTTTGGCAAATGGAAGAAATATCAAGCAACGACAATAAACTAAAATTCAACCCATTGTGTGTATTTAATGGGAAAGTGAAGGTTATCTTAGCAGGAAATGATGAGTCTGCCATAACTGGTGTTTGATGGAGTGAGGTAGAACTGAGCTGGTCTTGGGATGTTTGGATGAGAGGCAGCAGGAAGAAATAGTTATCCCTCTCACCATATCTCATTTGAAAGGAGTTTGAATAATTGTCTATATAAGTAGCTATTTTACCATGCTAGAGCAGCCAAAGGCCATAATATGAGCCAGTCCTAGTTGGCATCGGTGGTGGTGGGGGCAGCCAGGGTTGACAAGTTCATTGCCACCTCCGACTGGTCTTGGTCACTGATTCAGTAAACCCCACACTGTACTAAATGCCCCATTAATAGGTACTACACAGCTGTCCAACTACAACTTTTTTTTTATTAAGCATGTAAATTTTGCTGTCATATGATTTTATTGTCTGTTGCATTAATCTGAATTATGGGTACAATGATGCTGCAACTTGGCAGTAGGCACTTGAGCCAAAAGACCAGTGACATCACCAAAGCATCCCTTACCATAATAAAAAACCATCTGTCATGTGTACTGTGTGGCATGGTCTTCAATGCAACATAAAAGTAAAAAGAAGCCATGGTTAGTTAGCTCCCTATTCAAGAGCTTATCAGCAAGTTCCCAGGCTCCAAAAGAATGGCTGGAATTTCTCTTTGACAATCAGATAATACTGGCATTACAACCCCAAAGTTGGGACAGTGTGCAAAATCAAAATCAAAACTGAAAATAGTGATCTGTACTGGGGACAGGTCAGGACTGCAGGCAGGCCAGTCCAGCAGCCTTTTCCTCCACAGCCAATAGAGAATGTGTGAAACGCATTTTGAAATGCAAATTGTGTCAATGAAGACCCAGGACTGTTGTGCAACTTAAAAATTGTTCACAGGAAGAATGGGACAAAATGACACCTGACACTATGGCTGCACGATATATCGAAAAATATCGTTATCGCGATAATAGCGTGTGCGATATGCGTATCGCAAAGACGTGCGATAAATTAATAATTTTATATGGTATTTTATGCGTTTGCTGCACATGTTTGGTGTTTATCTGAGTTTGACCAATCAGACGCGACCTTAATAACGCACCCAGCCATCCACCCCCCCTAGATACTGTTCTCCTATTGGCTAGAGCGGACTCATATGCGCACAGTGACTCACAGCAGCGGGAGAACAGGAAATGAGCGAGGACGAAAACAACGAACAACTTGTGCCCAAAAAGAACACCACTTCTGAAATATGGGACTATTTCGGCTTAAGGAGAGAAGACATAGCACAGACACAGGTACTGTGTAAGTCATGTCGGAAAATAGTGGCAACGTCGAGAGGAAACAACAAATCTACACAGTTACATGGAGCGGAACCACAAAAACCTATATGATGTCTTCAAGTCTAAAACTCCCAAAACTACTAACGTGAGGGCAAGTTACAAAAAAAACGATCCACAGACCACCATTAATGAACGTTTTGCCAGTGTCACCCCTTACGGAAAAACGTCGAAGCGCCACAAAGCTATTACCGCAGCTGTTGCACGTTATGTAGCCAAATGCATGATCCCAGTAAGTACCGTGGGCAAAGAGGGCTTTTTGGATCTAATGAAGGAAGTGGACCGGAGATACCAAGTGCCATCGCGCAATTACTTCTCCCAAGTCGCCATTCCACAAATCTCCCAAGTCGCCATTCCACAAATGTACGAGGTATGTGTAGTGACTGTAAAGGCTGAGCTGCAGCAAGTGGACTTTTATACTAGCACCACAGACCTGTGGTCCAGTCGCACCACCGAACCCTACATGAGCTTTACTGTTCACTTTATCAGCAAAGACTTTGAACTAACAACACGCTACCTGGAAGCTGCATATTTCCCTGAATCCCACACCAGTGAAAACATAGCCACTGCTCTGCAGGATGTTTTAGCAAACTGGGGCTTGAAAGAAGAGAAACAAGTGTCTATTACAACAGACAACGGCGCTAATGTAGTAAAAGCTACCGAACTCAACAAGTGGGTCAGACTACAGTGCTTTGGCCACCGCTTGCATCTGGCCATTGGTGAGTGTTTATGGTTTATATTTTGTTGAAAAATGCACATATTTAACATGAGATTTGTAAATTTAACATAATGTGTGATTTGAAATAATTTGATGACTATGAAGCTCTTAATTGTTTTGTTTCATTAGAGTGACAGTTGAAATAGTGATTTAATTTAATAATGCAGTGTTATTTCAGCCTAAATTATACAATTGTTTTTCTTTTGTTTTCTTCCTCTACAGAGAATGCTGTTAAAGGTGATGAGCGCATTACTCGAGCTGTAGGTCTTTGCAAGAAGTTAGTGGGACATTTCTCCCACAGCTGGAAGGAGAAGATGGCACTGAAAAAGGCACAGCAAGATCACCACCTCCCAGAGCACGCACTCATCACAGAATGTCCTACTAGATGGGGATCCAGGCAACACATGATTCAGAGAGTTCTTGAGCAGCAGAAGGCCATATGTGAAGTTTTATCAGCAGACAGAAAGTCAAGACATTTAGTTCCCACTTGGCAAGACCTAGATGTTCTGGAGTCCATTAACCAGGCACTGCAGCCTCTACAAGAGTTCACAGATGCCCTTTCTGCTGAAAGAGATGTGAGTGTTTCATGTGTCAAACCGGTCCTACACGTGATGAACACCTCTCTTCTTGCTGCAAAGGACGAAGACAGTGACTTAACAAAGTGCATAAAGAAAAAGATCCTGGACTACATGAACACAAAGTATGACAACCCAGCTACTCAAGAACTTCTGGACATGGCATCCTTTGTGGATCCCAGATTCAAAGCTGGCTACATCAGCAGTGACAAGGTCCTCAACATCAAAGCAAGAGTGATGTCTGAAATTGAAGC